AGCCAAAACAAACCCTTTCTCTTCATAAGCTCACCTCAGGCGTTTTGTAATAGTGACAGAAAGCTGGCTGCACATAGTTTTTAAATGTTTACATTCCAGCTGGGTGATGGTGCATGCCTTTAATCCCAGCACTCGGGAGGGAGAGGCAGGTGGATCTCTGTGAGTTCGAGGCCAGCCTGGGTTACACAGAGAAACCTTGTCTCTAAAGAACAACATAAGGAAGCTGTGTGTGGCTCTGGGAACTGCCCCTGGGGTGGAGGACACCCCTCACACTCACCCCAGGTGTTCTTGCTTAAGGTCAACCTCTCCTTTTTTGCTGTCTTCCTCCTCCTCTTCGGGGTTCTCTGCTCTCTTCTGCACATTCGAAGTCTCCTTCTGCTGGTTCCTCCTCAGCAATATAAGCCTAAGCAAACGTCTTCAGCCTTTGCATTCTTTTACTATACCCTCTAGATCGAGCCTGCCTTTCTTCAGCCAACCTGGAGCCACCATGAACCCCATCTCTCTAAAATACTTCCTGGCTTGTGCACTTTCAGCCAGGTGCAAATCATACAGGGACTTCCAGTTTCCTTCTGGAGCCCCTGAGCTCTTCTTTTGGGAATAACTCCCAAACAGGAAAGACCTCTATCTTCTTGAAAAATACTCGTACTTAGCATGTGGTACCCAAGCGAAGACAATGATGTTGGTCACTTTCACCCCCAGCAATGCAGCTGGTACCAGAAGGCTAAGAGGCTCCCTTTGGGTGCTGGCGAGGTCCAGCTGGGCCCTGCCCTAAATTCATTCCTAGTATGTAAGGCAATGGCTTTTCAGACTTGCCTTGCCCTGAAAGATCCCATTTCACGAGCAGTTTGGGATCCATTTTGAGGACAGAGGATGACTGTGCATCTGTCTGTCACAGCTCATGAAATGCACCATGAAAAATGACACCCTGGGAGTGAAAAGGGGGCAGGCATTGTACGAATCTATTGGAGTAAAGTAGTACTGTTGGGCACAGGAGCATATTAAAACCATGCCAGGAAAACCAGGCCTTAGAACTTATTGGACACATAAGAATAGGGTGTAACTCTCTCGCTGGGGGCCTGGCAGTAGCCCCTACCTGATGTGCACATCAAAGGGCAGACAGGCGGAGAACTCCACACTGCACGGGGGGGGGGGGGGGGGATTCAGCTCCACCCCCAGTGTTGACACAGCCTACTCTGTTTTTTCTGCCTTGCTGTTCAGCCACCTAGATGGCCTGTCCTTCCACCTATGGCCATTACCCATTAATGACTCTCTTCCCAGTCCTGTCCTGTCACATCCACAGCTGGACTCAGCTCTGTAGCTCAGCTCTGGCCTTGCAGCTGGACGCTACAAGAGCAGCTGCAGGCCCTCTCCAGAGCCGGCCAGCTGGCCTGATATCTTACCCCCACACAGTCGGTACGCCTATCAGTTTCCCAGCTTTGGCATCCCAGGCCTCTTTGAAACTCCTTGCCTTTTTAACCATTCTATAACACACACACACACACACACACACACACACACACACGTTATATAAAAGCCTGTGTTTGCCTCCTTCTGGACTATCAAGGAGAGCATGGTGGGAGGACTAACCTGACAAACTACCCCACTTGCAACACCTTGTTCCTCAATACATTCTGACACCCCGAGAAGACACAAATGTAACTTTTATGTTTCTGACAGTGTGAGCTCATGACAGGGACCCCAGAGGGAGCTTCCCTCTGCTACCGCCGGCCCACCTTGAGATTAGCACCATTCTAGATGTTTCTCAGAGTCTCCAGAGGGTCAGTCTTCCCGACAGGGGATGCTGCAGCTATCTTGTGTGGCCTTGGGGATGGTCACTCCCGGCACCGGAAGGTTATTTCCATTGATGCTGAGGTTCTTCTGAACAGCCTGCTCTTTCCCTCTCGGAAAGCGTCTGTCCTCTTTCCCACCCCTCCAGAGCCTCTGTTATGGTGCTTTCCATTCCAAAACCGATTAGCTCTCAGAGACCACAGGCTCCTGCAGGCTGGGACCACACTGCAGTGTTTGCTGATGTTAGCTTTGCTGCCGACCTACCTGGCTTCTGGAACTCAGGCTTTGTTGCTTCTAGGTGAAGCCTCAGAGCTCGGAGGAACTGGATGCTGCTTTCAAACGTTCTTGTCTCCAGGAAAGCTCTTCTATAGACATGACCCATGCCAACACGGTAATTACACAACCACACAGCCCCTGGGTACAAGTCCTCCTCGGAAATGAGGCTTATGGCTCTCAGCTCCACTGGCAGAAAGAGCAAACATGAGTCTTTTCTATCCACTACTATAAAGCTTGCGTTTAGAACAAAGAATTAATTTTTTAAAAAAGATTCATTTATTATTTATACAGTATTCTGTCTGCATGTGTGCAAGCAGGCCAGAAGAGGGCACCAGATCTCATTATAGATGGCAGTGAGCCACCATGTGGTTGCTGGGAATTGAACTCAGGACCTTTGGAAGAACAGCCAGTGCTCTTAACCTCTGAGCCATCTCTCCAGCCCAGGACAAAAATTTTTTTATCTCCCCACCTTGTAAGACTTTTCTGCAAATGCTTTAATGTTCTCCACTTAGTAAAGCCTTTATTTACACAAAGGCCCACCACTCCTTTCTAGGAATTTGATGGCCTAGAGCAGTGACCCTTTTCTCCTTGGACCAGTGACCTCTTTCTCCTTCCTCCTTCATTTCCCAGGAGCCAAATTCTTTTCAGTTGAATAAAGCTGGACCACAGCCAGTGGGGAAAAGACACAATCACCACCTGAGTTAGAATAAAAACAAACACACTTCCTATCTCAATGTGTTCGCTCTTTCTAAGCACACCCTCTCATCCAGACCCTGCCGTTGAAATGGTGGTCTTTTTCCTTGCGACCCTGAACTTATTTCTAGCATCCACAGATGTGCCCAGCAGTGAGGAATGAAGAGCAGGGATGAGAACTCTCCATCATGGACAGAGGCAGCTGGCAGAGGTCGGCAGGGCTCCATCTGTGGGCTCTAGAATCGGTTCCCCTGCAGGCCAGGGCTGAGGAGGCACCCAGATGCTTCCACGGGGACTGGTCGACAAACCAGAAGTGGAGGAGTCCCTTTTTGCTCAGACCTTGGAAATGTAGCTCTTTCCCCGGGTGACTGGCCTGCCCGACCCCCTGCTGGGCAAGCTCTTTGAGGCTGTATGTGTAGCCCTGCTGTTCCCTAGACTCCTTTACAAGTCCTCCCTCTGAGAACCTGGTTTCTCTCCACCCTCCATCCGCAGACTCCTCTCTAGGTAAACAGCCTTGGTCTCATCATTCCCCTGCTCCCCTTCCAGGATGGTTGCTCTAGGATGCCCGTTATTCACACACTCCTCCGCCCCTGGCCTCACCTGTACGGCCAGCTACCCACCATTTATCACAGCCCCGTGATGCATGTTGGACTTCAGACAAGCAGCTAAGGGGCCTTTTGGACCAAAGCAGAACTGGCTCCCAGAGTCTCCCAGCATCCCTTGGTCCCTACCTGCTGCAGGGTGTGGCTGGCATACCCTGTCCTCTACCCTGAACTCCCCAGCCGAGGGGCCGGCTTCCCCTCCCTCCAGGATATTTTGGTTCCCCTTTCTTCTTCTTCTTCTTCTTCTTCTTCTTCTTCTTCTTCTTCTTCTT